GGAGGAGGAGGAGGAGGAGGAGGATGAGAAGGCGGCTCGGACCTCTATTCCTCTTTCTCTCCGTCCTTCTTGTCTCGCGGGGGCGCTCGAAAATTCGGTCGGTCTCGCGGCCGAATTCCCAGAATCGACGCACGCGATGGAGAACCGGTTGACGATCGTTCGCCAACAAGGGTTAGAGTAATGGAAGAATGGGGGTGGACGCGGTAAGGCGAGGGGATAGGAAGGCCCGAGGAAAGGCGGCGCAGTTTTTCTATCTGCTTTAGTTCGCTCGTTTGGTAGATACGTGAGATCAATGGGGGAGGGGACAGATGAGGAGTAAAAGAATCGCGAGTCTCCTCTCCATTCCATCCTCGAACTGTTAGTTAATTGAATTGTATGTATAACCGACTGGTTTGTTCGGTTGTTTTAAAGCCGCATTAGGGGTGCGAGATGGAACTCGGCGTCACAAGCTTGCGAATGTAATGGCCTTGATCCAACGTAACGTCCCCTGTCCACAAAAACCAATGGTTAACGAAACGAATCTCGAAATGGGCGCTCGGCCGAGTGAGAGATCCGATGATCAAATTGGTATAACGGAGGCCCATTTTCCTTCGATAAGCCACCAAATCGAGCGCACTAGACTTAAGAGGGTATTATGAATCTCGCTATCCCTGTCTGTGATGTTGGGCTTCATTATCACGCGATAATGCGCATTAACACGGGGTACGCGCTTTCCTGGTCTCGGGCCTGGCCATCGAGTCGCCGTTCTTCCGAGTTATCGCCCATCGGACCGAGATAATGCGGGCTTTCGCGATTCGCATCCCGGCGATGCTTCAGCCACAATTTCCATTGCCGACGCAATTTTTCGACCCCGGCTTGATGATCCACCTGAAATGAGCACTGAAATCGTCGGTGCACCATCTAATTTGATTGATTGTCATTTATGTTTTTCACTTTCACAGACAAATTTCACAGACGTGGAGTTTTTAGCGGATAAAGCTTTTCGTTACACCAATACTATATAAACCATTAGACGAGAGATTAATCGAAGAAAGAATCGTCAGCCAATGATTGTATAGATGATAAGTTTAAGCGATGAATTGCTAAATAAGTTGAGAATGTCTTTCAAAAATGACAAAAGAAACGAAACTATAAATAAATCAATAGAATGAAATAAAGAAATAGAAGAAATAATAAAAAGTATCGACTGTTCTCGCGTTGGCAATTTAATTGTTTCGATGCAATTGCAGAGAGTTTTTATTGCATGCGATAAGAATTTTAAATATTTCTCAAACAAAATGAAATTATATAGTTAAATAGCATGTAAAATGTGTGCAAAGTTTCGTTTTTGCAAATTAATTTTATTCTTTTTCTTTCTCTATACACGCCTTATCTGCTTATCAAGCATACCTTTGTTTACCGTAAACATTTTTGCACCTTAAAAGTATAAAATCACGTAGTCTCGTTTGGTGGCATTGTACATTATTATTACTTAATTATAAGAAAATGTCTTACTCGGTTCTGTCGGCGATAGTGAGATAGAATCTCGCAATATGTAACAAGATAATTCAAATTAGTTCATTCGTACAACATCATTTTACACTCTTCCGA